CGCGGCAGGTTCCCCGCGCCTCGCGCCGCCTCCGCCCGCTAGCTCAGGCTCCCGGGACCCCCGAGCCGCGCCGCCACCGCGCAGCTCCTCCTCGGCCTCCGCGCGGTCTTCCTCCTCTCCTCCTCCGGGTCCTCCTCATCCCCGTCCTCGCCGCCCGAGCCTCTTCGGCGCGCGCCCCGCGCTCCCCGCAGCCGCCAGCAGTGGCAGCTGCAGCAACTGGAGCGGGCGCGGGCTCAGGCCGCCCGGAGCGGGGCGGGGGTGGGGGGAGTTCGCCGCTCTGGCTTGCTGAGGGTTGGGGCTAGGTAGGGGCAGGAAGCCCCCTCGGAGGTGGCCCTCACTCCCCCCCCAGCCTCCGACGAGCAGGGTACAGCGCCCCCAGTCCTGGCTCGGGACCTGGCACCTTCTTCAATGTGCTGCACCCTTGCCGAGCGCGGGGTGGGGGTGGGGACGGGGGACAAGGACAGGGCGCCGGGGCAAACGGGTTTTCCCAAAGGAGCCCTCACTGGGGAGGGGAGGAGGGGCCAGTTGTCAACTTGATTCCACGGGCCAAGCGTCCCAAGACAGCCGGGTCTCCGGAGCAAGGAGAACGCCCCCGTCTGGGACCCACACACTTCCTAACCCCTTGCTCCTCTTCTTGCTTCGTGGGCGCCCCCATGCCACCAGTGTGGCTGAAGAGCAGGGCCATCTGGGAGGCTGGAGGGTGGTCTGTGGCCTCTGACAGCAGCAGGTGGTTTCTCTCTCTTTGCCTTATTAAGCCTCAGGGCCTGCTTAGGATAGAAGGCAGAGGTGGAGGCCTGGGCCCGGCGTGGTGCAGGGCCCTGGGGCAAGAGGGGTCCTCAAAGGGTGGCTCCACCTCTATCTAGTCTCAGGTCCATCTGTCCTCTAAGGGGGTCCTCCAGGCTATATTTGGGCCTTCCTTTCCCCATTGAGGGTCTTCCCTGATCTGATCCGAGTAGTTTCTGCAGCCCCCCATCCCCACACCATCAGGGAAATCCCTCCTCTGATGCTTGGAAACTCGCACCCTCTGGATACCATCCTGCCTCAACTACTGGCTGGGCCACAGGTTTTTCCAGGGCTAATTAAAACAAGATGACCGCATTCTCCCCTCACTGTCCACAGTGATTTCCCCAAAGTTTCCGGCTCATTAGTTCCACTCAAATTGGAATTCTCAGGTTCCTATCAGCTCTTCCTGTGGCTGGGGCCCAAGTGAGCAGTCTTACCCATGCAGTAAAACGTTAAGGAAAAAATTAAAGGATAAAATGGAATATGATGAGTTTCTGAGTATTTGGTACCCAAAAGTAGTATGTAAAAGGAAGCTGCAGGTAGTATTTTCCAGAAAATGAAATTGTCTGAGCGTCCCCTTTATGTCCATCCAGGATACCTTGGAGTCCAGCAACCACTCTGCTGTGTAAGCCCCACATGTGCAAAGGCCCTGGGTCTTCTCCAGTCCGGGCCTGGGGAGCTGGCCCAAGAAGGGCTGTGGAGAGGTGTGAGGTGACTGCAGCATTGAGGCTCCCTTATTTATTATCCTTTTGAACGGCTGCTCTTTGCTGCTTTTGTGCCTCAGCATATGCCAAGGAAGTTAAGGACTTGCCTTAAATCAAGCCAAGATTTGCAATGTAAAAATAAAACACCCATAACATAAAAAGAGCAACAAAGGACGGGACTGTCTCCCAGCGTGGTAGGAAGCCTCTGATATGGATTCCCGCTCTCACAAAACTTAATTTGTGAAAAACAACAACCCCCCACCACTCCTGGGGCCTCGCTCCACAACACCCAAAGGTCTGATCTCCCTGGATGGGGCTGTTTGCAAAGTCCCCAGCTGTGTTTCCCCTCTATCACTGTCTTTATGGTCTGAGCATCTTTCCAGGGGGCGTTGCAAGCCCCCCCCCACACCATCTCCTGCTCTCATGATTGCCCCTGTTTTTATTGATGAAGCTCCTTAGGACACTGTCAATGTCCGTAACCTTCCATCCTATAATGCCCAGCCCTTGTGCACCTCTCTGAATGGCCCAACAACGGAGCCTAAATTGGGTTCTGCTACCTTCCACCAGGAAAAAGGTGTTACTGGGCCTTTACCCACTCTCTCCAGCCATATCCACATGCTCTACAAACTTCTGCAGCACATTCAGAAAATCTGGTGCCTGGGCCTTCCTGGGTTTGGAACAGCTTTACCTACACACAATGGAACCTCAGACTTCAGGGGAAACTTTTGCTGATTGTGCCCCCTCATTGGCAAGCCTGGAATAAGACCAGAAGCCACCCAGCCTACCTCAAAGGGTTGTATGTAAGATTGAAAAAGAAAACCTTACACATTCCAACCAAGATTGCCATGCCTATGGCCCCCCAAATCGGACAGATCCGATTATCTGACCTCACATCTGCACTCTCGTGTGTGCATGCACTGCACTCTGCAGGGAATGCCGGGACAGGACTGCAGCCCCCTGTGCCCACCTTGCTCTTCTGCAGCCCACAGGCCCCTGGGCTGGGATGAGGGTCAGAGGCACCATATGCTGCTGCTCCTGTCATTCTGCAGCCTAGAATTCTCAGCAGCCTCCGGGAGGCACAGCCCCTCCAACCTGCGTGGACTCTCTGGGCCCTGTCACCCAGGCCCACACATTGTCTTGCCACTCCCTGGATGGCCTGGGAAATGACCAGGGGAAGAGAAGCACCTACATCGGCCCCATTCATCTTCACCTGCTGCGGCTGTGCCCACGGGCTGGGAGTTGAGCACCTCCGCTGTACAAGACCTGAAAGCCAAAACAAAAGCAGAAACCTCACCCTGTGTTCTAAATAAATACAGGCCGCTTATTTGTCTCTAAACTCATTTAAAAGCTACCCAGGGAGGAGGCAGCCTCTTTGCCATGTGTACATGTCTATGGCAGCATTCAAAGAAAACCAGAGGTTTCACATTTCTAAAGTACCCCCGTCCAAACAATCCTAACTCACCTAAATAAAGCCAAGTGCTTAAACACAAGCTAAAAAAGCAGAGTGATTAAAGGGCAAGAGGAACATGAAAGGTTATTTGCCTAGTGTTGGCCCAGCATGACCATTACTGCATACTAGATTTTATTTTTCTCTGGCTTGGACCTGATTCCACTACTCTGACAGTAATCCTTGTGATTCTGCGCCACAGAAGCCGGGTGGTGACTAAGTGATCTGGCGTCCTCTGGTGGCTTATCCGAGCACATGACTGTATGGAACTCATTCAAACCCTCTGAAATTTGAGATGTGAAGAAAATTCCCCGAGGGGAAAGTCCCCAGGTAAACAACTGTAGCCACAGGGAATGACGGACAGGGATTGAGGGGGCTTGGTAGAAGGATACAAAATTTCAGCTACTCAGGAGAAATAAGTCCAAGAGATCTATTTTACAGGGTGATGGCTACAAGTGATAACAAAGTTATTGTATACTTGACATTGCTGAAAGATTTAAAATGTTCTCAACACAATACTAAATGATAAGCGTGTGAGGCAATACATGTTGGTTAGCTTGGCTTCACCATTTCACAAGGATGTCAAAATGTCACGAGGCACAGCATAAAGATACACAATTTTGGTTAATTGGTGGGGGGGACAAGGAAACAGAAAATCTGCAACCACAATAATAGTAGCCAGCCAGCTACTGATCCTACTAGTATACAACTGTTGGGATGAAAGCCGCTAGCAAGATTCATGTTGCTACCACAGTTTGATTGTCATGCCTTAGCTGTAACTCCTGCTGGTGACCCCACTTTAAATCACTATGCTATCGAGTCCCTAAACAGCAGAGCTTCCTGCCTCCCCCCACACACCTCTGTGTCAGTCTTCATAATGTCTTTGTAATGTAAGAAAGAACAGTAGCTCTTCTCGCACTTCCCAGAGGCTTGGATCTGTGGACTTACTTAGAAAGTCTTCTAAGAAAGTATAAAAGTCACGTACCATCCTACCACCCACAGATAACCAAACACTCCAAATATTTTTAGGTGCTTCTTTCACGCCCCCTCTCGGTGTGTGCTTTTGCAAAATAGAGGTTAGATCAAATATGTAACGCTGATCATATTCCCCCTCAACATTAAATCGGAAGCATTTTCTCCAGGTCATCAGATATGGTGGAAAACACGTTTGCAAAAGGAGTAATTGAAAGATGGTCCAGCAGAGGGCGCACTGCTGACATTTGGGTTATTCCAAAATCTAATATACTTCAAAATAAGTTCTAAAACTCTGCTCAGTGGGGTTTCTAGTGGCTGAGAAAGTGGCTAAAGATGTCCACAAATAGTCTTTTTCAAATTGTTCTTAATGTTTGTTATTTTTATTAGCAAATATGCTTGTAATTAGGTGGCAACCAGAATCGTGGAAAGAACCAATTTCGTGAACCAAGGTGCCATGGCACCAGGGTACTACACATAATGATAACGTACACTGTGGGGAGCTGGTACAGGTACATGACACATCCTAATTCTTTTTACTCTCCTTTCTCTCTTCTCCAT